AGTACGTAAAGGAAGAAGCAAACTTCCACCTTTCTGACGTGTACGGCACAGGAATGGAATACCTTACTGTGCTTCCCGAAAAAAAGCTAGAGTGAATAGGCATTTTTTAGGCAAAGGCGTATCATCGTCGGTCACATCGCCGTCTATTATTTATAAAAAAGTGGAGTATGTACTACCTAAATAGGTATATTTTAACGACTCTTTTTGTAAATTACGAATTAGTTAGAAACTTCATTTAAATAAAATTTTGATAAAAATTTATTCACATCATGATATGCAACGTAATATTCTATATTGTATTTTAAATAAATAATTTTCTGTCCTTAAGTTGTCATGTATTCGTGTATAGAGGACGCCTTTAGAAAAGACTGAAAGTTTGACTATTTCCATGAACGATAATCAACCACGTAATGATGTCACCGTTGGAAAAATTCAATACGACCCCAAATATCGGTAACCAAGCAACCATTTAATTTTAGTCTATCGGTAGCTTTAAACGCCTTTTTACGCACAAAATAATAAATCACCTATAACGTGCTTTTATATGCTTGTACGTACCCTGGATACGGACATAAGAAGCAGTGAGTACGATATTGTTGTTTCATTCTATCTTTCTAATTTCTCAGGCGATGTTTACTGGCTATATTCTTCGACGTATTTCAGTTACGTAAACAGGTAGCTACAGAAAGCGTTCGTGATGTTCCTTTGTTTCTATTTCTTTGATTAGATAAAGTGATGGGCGAAAGTTTAGTAATGTATGGTATAGTTTGATTTCCTTGTGATAGTATCCCATATATAACCACAACAAGTTGACAAGTTCTGATTTTCCATTTGTAAATGAAAAAACAGGGTGTTTTTGGAATTGTTTCTTTTAAGATGGCTGCAAAACAGCATTTAATACACATTTTAAAAGCACACACATCGTCTCTCACTGATGTTTTTGTGGTATTTAACTAGTATGATCTCACTCAGCTTTCAAAAGCAAAAATTGTTTGATGCGCATTATATACATATACAAAAATCGTCGTATAATATGCCTTTACACACTTACGTAGTTACGGCAAATTTAAAAAGAACATTTAAATACATAGTTAACTATAGCGTTCGGGGAATAAGTCCGCGAAACGCTTCGTACGAATCTTGGGAATATCCACAACATAGGGTTGGAACCCCAGCCCACATCTAGTCCCCTGATAGCGGAATCAAACCGTGCAATTCCATCGCACACTCTCCGTGATAAATCCCGTAGAATACCGACAAGCAGGCAACTTTACGACGGTGTTCAAGGCTCTGCAGCTTCGCCTCTACTAAATCCGAGTCACCTACAAGCCTCTTGACACGCTTGTCGATTGAATCTAAGGTGGCCAGTTGGTATTTAGCAGAGCCCATAAGTGGCAGCACTACTCCATACAGGACCGGGCTTGTGCTTGGTACAGCTGAAGCAACTGTCCTGGTGTGAAGTACCGCCTCACCTTGGAAAGGATTCTAAGCGTCCTGGCTGCAATTCATCAATTCTGTAGGTTATTCATAGGGGGAAAATGGTCGCAACTACGGATTTCGCGTTTGGGGAGAAAGGCTCCTAATGTATATATAAGTATAACTAACTAAAACGTGCTAAGTTTCAATCTTGTTAACAAATGTGAAATGCTTAGCCAAAAATACGTTGCCTGAAACATTTGCTAAAAAGCTATTTACGGCCATTAATAAAAAGATCGATGTAGATCATTACAGATATCTTAATTGACTTAATAGGTAGAGTTAGATTATCTTAGTAGGTAGGTGCAATTAACAGAAATTATCATTTTGTTATGTATTTTTAATACAAAGAAGCTATCCAATTGCTAACAAAAGTACAGCCCTTAAGCCAAATATGTAAATATCAACAAAACTACCACGTAAGCGAAATAAAATAATAAGATATAAACATGTGAGCCGGGCGTCGCGTGCTTGCATGCGTGCATAGCAGATAAGAATCTAGGGGCGTGCAACTTAAAATAGTTCCAAAGATATTTGGTAGACAGTAATAGACTACGAATTTGCAAATAGTGATGAATTTGTTTGTGGTTTTGTTGTTTATTTTTGCTCTTTTTGGTTTTTGGTGGAATTATGCGCTTTTAGGAATGAAAAACGCATTGGAAAATAGCATTTCAACCCGAATTGGAATTTTCAGACATTTAGTTTTATCAATTACAATAATATCAATATTTAATGGTTTTCACCGCACCTCTGAGTTTTTCGGAATTTATGTGCAAAATTTAATTTGATACTTACCATATTTTCGGTAAAGAAAAACACCGTGATTAATTGGTAAGTAGACGGGTAGTTAGTGAGATATATTGGTTGACATTTCTTTATTTCATGGTACATTTTTGGGGAGTTTCGGATCTGAGTGGTGAATTGGAGTTTCATAGTTTGAGACTGGATAATTTGTGTGGTTATTTGGGTCATTATACCTGGGATAAGAAATTGGAGGAATACGTTTTTTTTGTTGCGCGGTCAGCTTTACGGATAAATTAATTTGCAATTTGAAATTAAATTAAAGATTTAATTCCATCAAGAAAGTGTAATCTAAACGTGTTTTTCAAAATGTATATAATAGATTGTGTAGTCCAATAAATGTATTTTGAAATTCTTAAATGTAATTGATTTATTTGAGAACACAAATGAAATTAATGAATTTCTTGAGATATCACTTTTTGTTGTATTTTTCGGAATTTTTACAGCATTTAATTTTAATATTTGTACAAATTTATCATTTACAATAGCTGTTTCAAATATCATAAGATCGAGACACCCTGCCAAAGCTAAATTCGTTATACCTTGCGGTGTTGTCATCCAAGTACCTACGCCGAAGCTGTATAATTAATCTTTTGTGTAAAGTTTCTGTTTCATTATAATTGTAAACCTCGTCGAGTGCAAATTTTGATGAGTCTCATTCCATCCATCTATTACGACTTAATCTAATCTAACATAACAAAACATTTTTTTTTGTTATAATTTCATAAACCATATTCACAAAGGCGGTTTTTTTAGTTCTGAACCAAAATTATATATAGTATATGATAATCGCTACTGAACTAAATTATTGCCTTGGAATAATAACGCATAGAATCATAGTTTCATATCAAACGAACTGTCACAAGTGAGGCAAAAATCAAATTCATGTAGGCTAGTTTTAGTAGTAGGTTAATTTTCGGTTTTAGTGAATATTTATATAAAAATACAAGTTGAAACGCGTTACTTCCTTGTGGAATGTGATGTTAGTATCTATTTTATGTTTGTCTGACGTATTTTTACACTTATTTAACGCACATTTCGTCATTTTTAGCTAAAATTCTTGATCTGTTCGCGGTGCAAGTTGACCTTGAGCACTGAAGACCCGCCCGCTCGTGTAGACCCTTTTGGCGGCTTCAATTTGCCTCAGCGTGTGCGGACTAGGTTTCTATGCTGTTATTATTCTAAGATTATTGCATTGTGTATTATGGGCGGCATACAAAAAATTACTAACGAGAGTTTGTTGGAAGTTCGAAGCTGGAACGGGGTTTAATGACTCGAGGTTTTTAATTTTTACCGCCCGTGCTACATACAATATTTTTCATTACTTTTGCGAGGAAATACAACGGTAATTCTCGTATGAATAAATATCGCTTCACAACAAAACATTTACGGATTTTGCAAATGGTGGGTGTTTTGTTTCTTTTTAACAGATTGCCAGCTATTCTTCCTTAAATAATACAACTCGAAGTCGAATGTTCTAAAAGGCACAGACGCATGTAGCCCCAATGTACCTATTAGACGTAAAATAAATAATTTCAAATTCTAAAAATACTGCAGAACTTGAATTCGGAATATAAATTTTATTGTTAAATGGCAAGTGTTTAGATTTTTATGTATACTTACTTCATGTTTATGCGAAATATACGTTCAGACATTTCGAGCATAAAAATTTTTGCTTAATCTTGACGTAAAAAATCCATGAAAAAGCTCGAGTGTATAGTTTATGACATTACGATCGACTTTGCCTGCATGTCATGACACTGTTTACGAGCAAGTGTGATGAAAAATTTCATTATACACGTTTACTCAGAACTATAATGAGTTTCAAAAAAGTGCGCACGTGTTTTTGCTAATTAAAAGAGTCTCCGTAAACGCGTCACTGTTTTCCTCAACAGAATAACATCACTGTATTTATTTGTGAAATTATTAAAATTTAAATAATTTTATTAAATAATGTCACAAAATGTCACACAACAAGTACAAAGTCAAACACGGTACTTGACTTTAAAAATCCTCAGTAACAAACGATTGTAAAAAACCTGTAATTCTACGAGTCATTTTATAAAGAAACTACAACTTCCTGCGGTACCTTGCACCGCCACTGTGAGCTTCCTTAATTGCAAAGATAGTTACTAACTCATTAACCGCATATAGTTTGCCTTGCATCGATAACGGCTGAACTTTGACTGTTATAATTCACTCCAATTAGTTTACCGTTGCTTATTTAGCCTGAAAATTTAGTAAACGCCTGTAGTTAGATGTAATAGGAAGAGGGGTGCTTTTCAAAATATTCAAACAAATACTTAGACGACTTCTTTGTCTCATCGTCTAAAAAATTGAAAGTGCAACTTCATGTCATGAATGTAAGGTTCATTTTTATCAATTATATATTTTTTATGATTATCGAATGACAGGACGAGTAAGTCGGGATCCTTGTGATAAACATCACGTCTACCCATAACAGTTGCAATGCCACTGACAGCTTTACTGACAGAGGTATAATTAGATCCATCATACTTTAAAATTGACTTTCTACTAGTTCAAATTAAAGAGAAATAATTTTTCGGCCCTGGTGTAAAGTCCTATTTTTCGAGATACGACAAGATCGCTTTCCGGCGTCGACATACACATACATACACACATATAATATATATAGCATAGTTCGTGTTATATTAATTAATAAATTATTTTAACTTTTTTATCAGACAATGGCGGCACCCGAGAAGCAAATCAGTATGGCAGCGACCGCAATCGCCCTTCGCGGCGTTCGCCTCTTCCTAAATCGTAGCAAAGAGGCAGCAGAGAAACGCGCCCCTCCACCGCCTGTGACTAAACCCAGGGCCAAGCCTAAGAAGGTCACTCCTTCTAATAAGCTGTCGCAGAAGTCTATGGACGCTCTGTTAAAGATTTGCAAATTCAACAAGTAAGAGTACTTAGAATTAAAGCGCATAAATATTAAAAATCACTCACTATTTGTAAACGAAATCCAGAAGTGTGTAACGTATGGCTGAATTTTCAATTGGGAATTTTGAACAGTTCGGACTACCGTACGCGCAAGGTCAAACTACACATGTTTGTTGCTGGTGTGGATACACATGCAATGTCATGCCACAGTATGTATGCTAGATACCTAATATTTTGACACAACTCATCCTACACAAGCTATATACACTGTTTGACTTTTAGGTACTTGCCAAATATTTGTGACATTTGTCCAAACTGTTAAAAGTACTTTACTGAATTTTGTCGGATGTTAATAGCTAAAAATATCAGGATATACCTTTTGCCTTCAGCTATCAAACTAGAGAAAAAAATAATCAATATTTCTTGAGGTAACGCGTTAACGTATATGCGTACGTATAAATAAGCATAACACGCGACACGACAACGGAATAAGCCATATAATGCCGATACATGAGGGTTAGTCTGGGCCCACATGCTATCAAACGAACGAGGGTGGATTATTGTAGTATTTCATGCTATCGATTTAGCATGCGGCCTAATAATCACATTATTAAACTTCCTGATAGAGTTCTTTGATTTTCACGATTGTTACATGTTGTAATTATTCTATTCTAACATTCTGTTTTCCTTTTACTTACAATACGACGTCACAAGTCATTTATAGTGCCCACATTTAAAGCCTGTAAAAACTTACCTACATCAATTTAGCTATCAGTTTCAGTATCAAAGGGCACTTTCAAAAGTTCTACTACGAATAAGTTGTTATCGTTTTTCATCATTGGGGATATGGTGAAACTTCTCTCTTGTGAAATATGATGAAACCGCAAGAATAGATACAGGATATTTTGTTATTGATCGTAGTATCATAAATATCCATTTTTAACCGAAAAAAGGAGGAGATTTTCAATTCGAAAATATTTTTTTTTGTATGTATATGACGAGATATGTGAACCAGTTTTGAGGATTCTCTTTTGTTGGACTTCAGTATTGGTTCCATTTAAATTTGAAGAACATATTCCACCTCTAAGGGTGGCAAACCCGGTTTCGCGCACTTTCAGGTAACCGATTTCAATAAAACTTAGCAAATAGCTGTAATTTCACGAACATTTGAGGTCGTTTTTTTTTATAATGCATTTGGCTCTTTACAGATCGCTTTAGTCACGTCTGTTTAAAAAATATGTACGTGATTTGGATCTAAAACAATTGTTTAATTTCTTGATGAAGTGTTTTTACGAGAACGGATAAGTATTTTCTACAGAAGTTTATATCAAATATGTTAACATTTCACAAGACAAACTGCCTACCATACAACACGACTCCCATTCTAAAAATTCTATTCTGCAATTGTCTGTACAAATGTCTTCAGTCTGTTTACATCTTGGTACCAAAAGTTACTATTTCATAGAATTTGTGTTTCCGAGCACATACAAACCTTTATAGTGCGACTGAATAGGCGTAAACCATATCTTTGCTCCAGAGCTAGGTTGTGATCTGCAAGTGCGTTTACTTAAGAAAAAGAATATCCAGTGGAACTGTATTATTTTTGATTGAAACTTCTGGAAAATATCAAAGAATTGGTAGCAGTAGAGCCCCTTGTGAAAAAGTTTGTCCGTTAAAGTACTGCCAGATTACCTCGCCAAGCAATAGTGTGAGCATTAACGAAAAATACGGAAATATACGGAAACTTTCAGACGTCGAAACTGCTACATTGGTTTACTTCAGCTACTTTCACCGTCTAATGACATACGGCCTTTTGTTTTGGGGAAATGCCGACGATATCAATAGAATCTTTGTCCTGCAGAAACGTGCGATTAGGGCAATTTACAATCTGGGCTCCAAAGTATCTTTGAGAGATAAGTTTAAGGAAATTAATATTCTTACACTAGCGTCACAGTACATCTATGAAAAATATCTATGATAATTTATGTTAAGAGGAATAGTAATCTCTTTATGAAAAATAGTGACAGACATAACATTAATACGAGGAATAAAAATAAACTAGCTGTTCTTGATAGTCGTCTTCAAAAAGTGTCAAGTTCATTTAAAGGGCAATGTCTACGCTTCTATAACAAGATTCCGGTTGATATACAAAATTTGCCACTGACGAGGTTTAAAACTATAGTGAAACAAAAACTTTATACTAAAGGTTATTTTATTAACTTACTGCGTTCCGGTTTGGAAGGGTAAGGGTGCTGGTGAAATTACAGGCACAACTGCATGAAAAAACATTCAACACAAGCACAGTTACTTTACACGATTCTTAGTAGCAAAGAACTCCTTGTGAAAGAGTTCGTCCAAGGAAGTACTGCCACCTAACCTATTTCTGCTGCTAAGCAGTGTGAGCATTACTGCATTCCAGTTTTGGGACTTGTCAACTTATGTCTGAGGGTGACGGGCATAATGGCAGAGCTCCTAAGATTTTTGCGATTTAAAGCTCTGAGTGGCACTGCAATTGTTCGTCCCGTCAAAGTCCCAAAAAAAACATAATAATGCCTGCAGGTTGTTGGTAAGCTTAGATAGGAAGTGTACGTAGACGACTACAGCTAGCTAGAAACTTCAATAAAATAATTCAAGTTGAGGCGTAGTGTATAACGACCCTAATACGCGTGGCAAACGGCAAGTCCCAGAGTTCAGTGAGTGAACAGCAGCTTGGTAGGGCGGTTGCGCGTCTGGTGTATCTCGGGCTCTGTTAGGCGTGTTTACCGTGGTCATGCCGCACAAAAAACTTAAAGAAAAGCACCTCGAGACCTTGCTTAAACTTACGCATTTCAACAGGTGAGTAAATTCATTAAACTGGAGTAATTGTTATTGTAACTAAAAAGTTTTTTTTAGAGGATTATCAAATTAAAAAAACATTTTCATATTTCTAACAGACTTTAAAAAAGGAGGTTGTCAATTCGATTGTATTTTTTTGTTGTTACACGATTGCGCCGGCATTTGTAAATCGATTTTGATGATTGTTTTTTTCATGGAAAGCGGATACCTCAAGATTGAGTCTAGTTCAATTTGAAGAAAATATTCCACCACTTAGAGTGGCAAACTAGGGGATGAATCCGGTTTCGCGCACTTTCCGGCAACCGATTTCAATAAAATTTGGCAAATGGATGTGTTTCCACGAACTTTTATGGTCGGTTTTTTATAAAAATGTTATAATTCTTATATTATATTAAAATTAATAGTAAGTTTGTACTCTTCGTATAATGAGGCCTTATGTGATCCATATGATCAAAATGCTTTTATCACATGGAAGTCATAAAAATGTTAAAACTACATGAAACAAATCGAGTTCTTAGGTTTTCGCGATTGTTACACATAGGAAATGAAACTATTTTTCCGGATTTAAATGGCGTATATTTGTTTTTTCAAACAAACCGACGTTTCGGGCCCTTTACAGGTCCCATCAACCGTGACCATGGGAAAAAAAATGTAAAGGGCCCGAAACGTCGGTTTGTTTGGAAAAAACAAATATACGCGATTTAAATCCGGAAAAATAGTTTCATTTCCTACATGAAACAAATTATGTTAAATTTGATAACTCTCTTAAACAAAAGATTAACTAAACAGGATATCTATTTATTTCGTTCGTAGAATCTTTAAACGTCTCTCCTGAAAAGTGGTCATTTTGCAGATGTGACCCTCATTACGCCAGACGTGCATCTTCTTAAGAAGTCCCTTAAAACTTTTTAGGTGTTTCGGAGCGTAAGAAAAATTAGACTATATTTATTACTGTAAATCAGAAACAAACATATAAATTACCTATATAATAATATCAATTATATACCATTGGTATATAGTTGGTAATGTAATGTAATGTAACGGGCTGTTTCAAATCGCAGGGACACGGACAATGCGTCCGTCACCCTGAGACATAAGTTGGCAAGTCCCCTTCAAAACCGGATCGCAGTAATGCTTACATAACGTACGTAACGTACTTACCAGACGAACTCTTTTCACAAGGAGCTCTGCTTCTACTAGCTAATATGCGTGTATATCCATTTTGCTCTACAACATCCATAAAAACATTTTAATCGTCCGTATAACATCGTAATTACAATATTTTCGAGTACAATAAAATGCTGATGTGATTAGCAGTACGTCAGAATACACGTAAATAAATTCAAATTATTAGTTCTAATTTTGATTTTGGTAGTTGTTATGTCTTAATAATAAATACCTATCTTACTATAATGTCGAGACATGTTACTACGGATAAAATGAATCTATGGAGTCCATGAAGGATTTAAAAAATTTCTGCATAGTTCTATAATTGTGACACCCAACTTTCCTCCTTTCGTGCGTAATCAAATCAAGAGTAACTTTTTTATTTAAAAAAAACCAACCTCAAATTGCTATCGGCTTTATTATTGGACTTATATCGCTTTGCCAAGTTTTATATTGCAATTGGTTAACGAAAAGTGTACGAAATCGGATTCATCCCCTAGTTTGTCACCCTTAGATATTTTCTTCAAATTTAAATGGAACCAATACAACCAATACAACTCTTTCGAACAAAAAAAGAATCAAAATCGGTTCACAAGTCCCGCATTAATCGCGTAACATACACACACAAAAAATACAGTAGCAGTAGAAATAAAATTGAGAACCTCCTCATTTTTAACATCGGTTAATAAATAGCTTCTTTCCTTTTGTATGTAATACAACTATCACGATGATGACTCGATAAAACAAAAATAAAGAAGTTAATATACATCAGATTAACAATACTATATAACAATAACTATGTCTTGGGAATATAGCTACATTGTCGAAGATTCCAAACGTGCGTTTGTTTTGACGACGACTCTTGCCGAGTTTATAGGTTAATGTGATGGCCTCAACATGATAAATTTTAACAGGATATAGTGGCTAATTTTGCTTTTGATACGCGCATTTGTCTTTACAAAGCAATGTTAAGCCTAGATTTAACAAACGGGCCACGGGTAGTCGTGCATTATTAATATAGACCTGTCAAAGTAATAAAATAAATTTGGTCGGATACCCTTTGGTCATTATTCATAATGGGTAAACCTATCACAAAGTCGAAAATTTTTTGTCAGCAATAACGTTTGTTCGAATTTACACCTAAAACCGAATTATAACGAAACAGTTGTTCAATCTGGATATATTGAATGTTTGTCGCAAAGACACGATTAGGTTCGGTTAGGTTTGGTTAAGTTAGTTTTAAAAGAAAAAAACATTTTCCTCTCAAAATTATTTTCGAGGTAATGAAATTTCGACCAAACGTTATTTTTGGAAAATGTCATTTCGGATTACTGATAGGTGACCTTCATAATGACTAATATATTAATCAAATTGCCCGTAACATACCAGTTTTTTTTTACATTTTTTCGTGATATCAAGTGACGGGACTAACAATTTGTGCGCCTGGTGGTAAATACACTCAGAGCTTTAAATCACTAAGATGTGAGGGGAATAACCACTGCGCCCGTCACCCTGAGACAAATACACAAGTCTCTAGTGCCTGTAATTTCGTCAGCACCCTTTCAAACTGAAATGCAGTATAATGCTGACATTACTGATTGTCGGCAAAAATAGGTAAAGTGACAGTACTTCCCTGTAGGAATTATTTCAGAAGAAGCTCTACTGGTACTGAATTAAATCATTCACATTATTAGCGTCTTCTCAACAGACTTGAGTGGGTGTGTGACATGTTTGTTGTAGGTAATTTATTATGACTGTTAACTTCTCTTTTTCTCGTAAAACATTTCTGGAATAAGCAATTCTTACGAGTATCTAAATAAGCAATGTTTTTCTAGGAATGAATTGGAATCTCTGTACACCATGTATCGGCAACTCGTAACTGCAGCGCAAGCCGCCGCGCCACCTGCTCTCTCCGGACAACCCCCACCGGCCAAAATTGAGGTAATTTTTTGCTTTTCATTTTAACTGCCTCCGTGGCCGAACGGTTACCATGCCGGACTGCCACGCAGAGGTCCCAGGTTCGATTCCCGGGCCGGGAGAAATGTTTGTATGGCTTACATTTATTTCTCTCGTGAGTTTGGGTGTAATTTGTGGTTATCTATGTGTGTGTCCATGGCACCCGCGACACAGGGTTTCCCTAGTGCGGGGCTATGTAGAGTGTGTGCGTTATTTAGTGTGTGCGTTATTATTTATTTCATTAGAGATAGGTCACGTTGGACTACACACTCACTTTGCTATTCTAGAACATCATTGTTTTTATGATCATTTTTTCAGATTTTCGTGGTCATTCACTAAACGATTAGTAGGCTTTACATAGACACTCTATTGCGCGTGATTCATCAATCCTGCGGGATGGAGCGCGCGTGTAAAGATGTCTAAAGTTTAAGTAAAGATGTGTAAAGGTCGCTCTTTCCGTTCGTTGTAACAAAAACGAACATGAACAATCTCGTGCGAAAGAATGTTAGCTTAAAAAATTTCAAACAGGTAATCGCGTACGATTGCAGGCTTTCCCGCGCGCAATCCCGTACGCTCTTGATCACGCGCGAAAAAGTGACTGTGTAAAGGGGGCTATTAAGAGATAATAGCCCCCACACAGAATTCCAGAATTATTGTGTTATAGGATGTCAATCAGTGGTCACGGCCGACTAACCATGGATCCTATAAAGGGCCCGAGACGTTAGTTTGTTTGAAAAAACAAATATACGCTGTTTAGATTCCAAAAAATAGTTTCATTGCTTATGTGGAACAATTGGGAAAACCTAAGAACTCGTTAATGTGTTATATCAAACTATGACCGCCGACTTGTCGTAAGCGACATTTTTACCTAAACAGCGTATTTTATTGCGAATTATATTTTCCGAACGTGTCGACATTTCCCGCCAAAATTACATCCAATAGAAATTATAGCAAAAGCTAAGTTTATCGTTAGATCAATCAATAGAATCAATATTAAAAAATCATAACGTAAGCAACCCCACTTGTTATCGCAACCGACACCGTACATCACTATTTCGTTGTTTACTAATAAACAAAGTGGCATGAAACGTGTTGCACCTTGTTGCATATTTTTAATTGCAAAGTGCTAATTAAACGCCTCAAGCCTCAAAATTCCATATCGTCAGTCCATACATCTTTATCTAACACGTAGTCTTCAATTTAGTAATATGACTTTTCAATTAAAATATTTTTAATGTAAGTTTTAAACTTAGGAAATGATAACCTTATGTATCTTCTCGCATAAAATGTATACCAATATCCCATAAAATAATCGTTTTAAACGAAAACGTAGTGTCATGAGTTTGGATTTAGTTCTAAAGTTCTAAGCACACATCTAAAAAGACAAATATCTAAATAGACACCGCAAGTACCGCGATCTGTATGAAAGAAAACACAAGCGCTATTTAGAGATGGGAAACCTCCTTCGGCACTAAAGCGATTAATGAAATATATAGAATAATGATTTTTCAAATATTTGTTGATTAGAAGAAGTCGTGAAATACCTATTAATATAGTAAAATAATACCAGAATAAGATAATGAAATCCTTTATTAACAAGTGTTTAAAAAAAAAAACAACAACAAACTATAGAATATTTTCAATCGATCACATTGCAGTTAGATATTTCTTTTAAGCCAGCTTTGAGAATCACACGCTTTTGAGCAACATATACCTCAGTTTATTATTTACAACACAAATTTTATTCCTTGTTCATTATTTTTTACGTTGATTGTATTACAGACTTTCTCCGTTGAAGGTCGCAGTTTAATCTAGATAGCTAATATCTGATTGCTTACGATTCGTATAGACTTCTTTTACAGTCGATTACTCGGGCTTCGAATTTGTAGCAATAAACGGACAAATAAGTCCATTTTGTAGCTTCAAACAGAGCTTGTTTCCTTGATTAAACTTTCCTTAATAATACCTCACATTTGATTGTCGAACAATTCCTTTTGTTCAGATTTTTAGTTTATGTGCTGTATCGAGCCATTATCGCCGACTTAGTGTAAGCGACAAAAATAGTATACGCAGTAAAAGAAGAGAGCTTGAACTCGACGTGTGTACGTGTTTTTCATCACATTTGCGAGGAAATCGATACAACGATAATTTATCTCTTTTATGAATAAATATCACTTCACAACACTATATTAACAGATTTAGCAAATGGCGGGATTTTGGTTTTTTTTATAAATTATTTATTATTATTATTTATTTATTCTTATAAATTCCCAGCTATTCTTCCATAGATAATATAACTCGAAAAATATAAATAACATAATATAATAAAAAAAAATGTCATAGAAGGCACAGATCAATGCAGCCACAATGTATTAGATATAAAAGAAATAATCTAAATTCTAAAAATAGTGCAGAATTTGAATTCACAATAGTTATTTGATGAGCATGGCTGCAAAATTGTTTGACGCGAAAGTGCTTATATTGAAACTTGAGCTAGCGAAGGAAGCCAAGATTTTGCTTCACTCGTGGTTTAAATAAAGATTCCTGAACGTAACGAGGGTTTCAAGACACGAGACGCAAAACAACTTTTCACCTCACTATCACGAGGAAAATGGTAGATGAAAGAAAAACAGTTGAACTATAAAACCTTTTTTAATGAAGAAAAAAGTTTATCTTCTATGCGTTTTGAATTTACACCTCATCAATTTTTATTATTGCTTGTACTTTTATTTTGTGTGATTAAGTGATTATTGAAATTATTTTAGTTCTTCGACTAATTAAAATAATTTAGTAAACATAATTAGTTATCATTGTCAATTTAATATCAACAATAGTAATAATAAAAAATACCAAAGGATTTATGTTACATAAATAAGTAATGTAAGACAAATCGCTTAATTGAACGTGCCATTATTTTGTTTTTTTTTCGAAAGAAAAAGTTAGGTGCACCACAGTTTATCGTCAGTTCGAATTTCAAAAACCTTTCCACGCTAGCGTGCAAAACACGCTTTTGCGCGTAGATTTCTAATGAGAAAGAAAGGCTTTCCGAGCTAGTGAGGTGCAAATAACTATTTTTTCCAGGGCATAGATCAAAACACATTCCGTGATGTAATGCATAATACGTTCGACCTGGTAACAGAAGAGGCTATTTTAGAACGAATCTGGATTACCTGGGAGAGAGGAGCGGCTGGTGGGGAGGGAGCGCTGAAGTTCGAGAGCTGGGTCCGAGGACTGAGTGTACTCCTGAAGGGTACTGAAGAGGAGAGAAGGAACCATTGTTTCAATGTTTATGATTTAAACGCCGATGGATATATTACGAGAGATGAAATGTTTATATTGTTAAAGTAAGTATGAGTAGTAGTTTATGTACCTGCTTTTCGAAAATAGTGGCACAATCCAATTTTTGTTTGCTTATTACCAGGGATCGGAATAGGTAGAGGTTTTTACCTAAACTTCGAGAAACATAGACAGAAAAAAGAAAAAAGACTGACTTACGACAATATTTTTTAAGTCCTTTTCGGAATTCAGGAAATCATGAACATTAAAAAATGACGTAATTGGGGACAGGCAGGTACACTATATTTGTCTTAACCATTCTTAACTTTGCGACGCACAGTGGTCGGATCTGCGATATAGCGGACATTGGATTTTTTTTCACGATACCTCTCTAAAAAAAATTCCAATCGAGAGATCATATTAGGATATTAAATATTGTCATATCACATTTTGCCATAAATCTAATAGTTTCATAGGAAAAAAATAAAATGTGTATTTCTTGTATGAGACCATGCCTTTAGTGCTCCACCGTTATAAAGTCTTAGTCGATCCAGTTTTGGAATCACAAGAGACGTATTATTAGACCTATCTTCTATAGATTTGCATACGAAACGCGCGCCCAAACCTGCCTATTCACTACTTATATTGCATATTTTCTGACGCGTATTCCTAGTGCAGGCCTGTAAGTGCGTGCGTTATTTAGTATCAAAGCAATGAAGTTTAATTTAGAGATACTACAACGAACCCCTCAATCTGAACGAATATGGTCAAGTAATGTATCCAACCCTTTAGAGGTAAGATACACAATGCTGAGCATTTGGGGCAAATAAGCATGTGTGTTCCGGACGCATATGTGTGGCGGCGGCGGCGGCGCGGCGGCCGCAACTTCTAGCCGTACCGCGCCGGAGGACTAACATGCTAAACAAAGCTCCGATGACGCGCGCACTACGCACTCTCAACGTAATGGCTATTCTTTTGTACTTTGGGTGAATTCACAAGGGTAGCATTATTTGTACTGTGTAATGAAAATGTTTAGGTTAAGATAGAAATAGGTAAATAGGATATTATAATATAAAATTGCTTTACTATCGCATTAGGTAAGAACCTGTAATGATAGTTAATAAGTTGTGGTAAATAAATAAAAGTTAGCTTTAATAGCAGTGGAGCTCCACGTGAAAGAGTTCGTCTAGGTAAGTACTGACACATAACATATTTCTTTCGTCATGCAGTAATGTTTCGAAGGGTAAGTAGGGTGCACTTGGGACTTCAACTTATGTTTCAGAATAACGGGTGCAGTGACAGTGCCCCTCAGATCTTTGCGCTTTAAAGCACTTCTCTTACTTGGTACCATAAAAAAAGACTACCTATTCAGTAGTCTAATGTAAAATCCTAGTCTATACAAAAAATGTCCAAGGTTTTACTACTATACTATTATTTTATTGTCACCTAAACGTCAAACTACATTTGCATAATATAATGTTTTATACAGCGAGCAAATTATATACATATAATGTCGAAGTATCGATGGCAAATCGATTGAGGAATGTCCAGTTTACGCCGCGTTGTGTGTACAACACCGAGGTTTCTTTCATTGATTAAAATAATAACCACATAATAATCTAACGAAATCTAAAAAATAAATTAATCTTTAATAAACCTCTCTCCCTATGTATCTCAAAAAGAAGCTGATGGACATGTGCATCCTTCCCATAAAAGTGTTGTCGAAATGAGTCTTGGTCTTGCAAAAATGTAAGATCAAGACCACCTAATTGTAGCAAGACCAATACCAAGGCCAACTGCAAGACTTGGCCAAAAACAAGACTGAGTCTGTAAGACTCTTGGTATGTACCAGCGAAAGCAGTTCGTCTATAATCAAATAAATAAATAATAATTAACTAAAATAAATAAAATACAAGTGCAGGCTCGGGCGCGGCGGCGTGTGCGGTCGGGCGGGTTTTGGCGTCTTCCTTTTCACAGTGCCGAAGCGGCTACGAGCGGTAGATCCACACGTCGAAATCGCAAACAGACGCTAGACGTTAGACCAAGTACTGTGAAAGATACGGGCGGACCGATACACTATCTACCCGCAACGCAAGGAGCGTGCGTATCCGCGCTCGCCTCAAGCCAGGCGCCTACCGCGCGCGGCCGCTGTGATCAAGGCCTAACATTTTAGGCCTAAAGAAAATAAATTGTTATAATTATAATTATCACTTTTGACGTCACCAATGTTATAACATGATGTCGTCCATTCACAATTTACAGAAACTCGCTGCTAAAACAGCCCGGAGACGAGGATCCTGATGAAGGAGTCAGAGATCTGGTGGAATTAGTACTCAAGAAGCTTGATATCGACAAAGACGGACGCGTTTCGCCTGAGGATTATAGGTATTACGTTACGTTACGTTATTTTATTTCAGTATTACATGTTGCCAATGGTTATTGGTCTGTTACATAGTCTTACAACGGGTATTGTAAAATGTAGGTAAGATAGAGATGGGCAATTGAGCTTCCCATAATTAATTGCTGCTGCTTTACCACGAAACCACTGTCGGAACGATTATAGCTATTTTTTAGACAAGCGACTTTTAATGTAACCTAACAACCTCGCAAGACTATAAAAAAAAGGACTATAAACGTCATATACAACAACATCTGGTCCATGACTTTTGACAAAATATGATAAACATATCAGAAATAAACTATAAGTTTCTTTTGTACTATCTGACGCTTTCTAGATCTGTATTTGATAATAAGGTAGGAAGTTCAAACGTGCAAGCGCCCTCTTCGACGACTCCCGCGTTTAGCTGTGAAGCACAGACTAATAAGAAATACTACGTGAAGGCATTAGCGAACTTCAGACAAATAGATAATTGTTTACAGAAAAATAGGGAAGTTCCGTTTGCTAATATAACAATAGCGAAAAATTCTAATTTTGAATTGTTATTGTTACAATGCAACGCGAAGGCTTAAGGCATTTTTTTCTCGTTTTAGTATTACCATAAAATTCGTGACGACATATATAATTACTAGTGTTGCAACGGCCTTCAGGCCGAATATCGAATATTCGGCCCGGAGCAAGGACGAATAGCCGAATATTCGGCCTGATTCATGATCTTACGAAAATTGGCGCGCAAACCCGTTGACTTACAACAAACCGCATTATACTAAAGATAGCTACACATACATATATATAAGTTAAATTAAATTAAACCTGTAAAGATGCACGACTTTGTAAAAAGAAACAAAAAAGGAAATTCTATTTTCAAGTTTGTAATTTAAATTTATAACATTTTAAAGAAGAAAGTAATAGTTTATTTCACTACAGTTTGATTAACTTTCAAAAACTTAATTTTATTTTCATTTGCAAATAATAAGTACTAGGTTGATTTTGTTAGCGTTTATTTAATCATGGTTTGTCATGACAAAATTACATAAGAAGTAGGTAGTGTTCATTTGATTTGTTACCTTTTTTTTGATCTCATAGAAGTTACTATTTGTGATAATTTACTGTATTTTCTTATTTCTTCCTCCTGTTTTTAGGTATTCAGCCGAATAATGATTTAATATTCGGTATTCAGCCGAATAGCAAAATATAACCGAATATTCGTTGCAACTCTAATAATTATTCTGTTTTCAGAGAAGCGATAGAGCAAGAGCCACTGCTACTGGAAGCGTTCGGACAATGCTTACCTACGAAGAGACATGCTGCAGCGTTCCTTAAATCATTATGTATTAAACAATGATTAGTAGCAGTAGCGCTCCTTGTGAAAGAGTTCGTCCAGGGAAGGCCTTGTATTAATACGAGTCAAGCAATCCCCGTTCCCGCCGAGGCATATATAGAAGTTTTCTCAAACAATGCGAGGAAATAATAAAAGACTAAAGAGAGGAAGATGTAGAAAAAGTAAAAAAAAATTAATTAATATTAAAAGTAATATTTGACGTGTTAGGACAACTGCTAAAAGAAAAGTTATTGTTTTTCCAGGCACATTAACAGTTGTCTGCTGAACTTCTGATGATGTGTTTGAATGTGTATCTATTATGTATTTTCGTTATCGCTTTTCTCACTAGCACTCATTTTCGCGACCAAAGTACAAAAAAGACGAAAAAACAAAAGAATACCAAAACATTTTAGCTTAAATGTTACCACCGTTTTCTTTTTTTTATGTAAGCGGCAACAGTTAGGTATTTATAATTCTTGCAATTATGAACTATCGGCAGTTGGTTGTATGAGCTTCTCTTGTGCCTATTTACAAAGTTCATTATTAGAAGATTATTAGTAGGTACATTTAAAAGTTTAGAGAAAAGGACAGTAATGGATTTTCATACTAACTTTGCAGGCCTTGGCCGGGATGAAGTCGCACGGTCCATGAATGACCCACTTTCCGTGTTCGTTTTTTGAAAGTAATGCAAACATTTCCGAGCATGTTCGAGAAAAATTCTTAAAACGCATAGAAAAAAAAGGAAAAGCCTAAAAATATATAAAAAGCCGTGGTAGCCTCATGGTTTCATTTACCGTCTCTCAAGCAGAGGGCCGTGGGTTCAACTCCGGACTCGCACATCTGAGTTATTCGGAATTTATGTGTGAAATATGAAGTTTTCCATTTATAAACTTTCTTCCTTTTTTTATCTATCTAGCTGTTATAAAGTAGTTTAGGTATATGTAATACATATACAGATAAATAAGTTGATCAATTACGTTTTCATGACATCATGTAATCTGCACGTCGAAGTGAACCTTCTTCAACGTGCAGATTACCGCATGAACTTTCTTAAAACGTGTGAGGCACCCAACCCGCGTTGGGCCAGTGTGGCAGACGAGTGCGCAGTAGTGGGAAGTATAAGTGGATTGATGATAATGATGATAAACACAAGTATTCAGAAATCTTAAGAAGATGTAGAAGCTTGGATAGCAAAAACTTGTTGCTGGAATCAGCCTGCACAACTAAAATCAAACGTACAAGTAGCTTATTCAAATGTACGAGTAGCTTATTCAAATGTACGAGTAGCTTACTGTGACAATATTGAATAAGATGTACAAAATGTTAGCTTTTAAGTAAAATATTGTTAAATTTTAAGCAGTAAATTTGTATTTTAAGCGAATCTCTATTTTGTTTTACTAAACGCACGTACGAAACCTTTTTTGTAAACTTAAAAATTAAAAGTGTTAACGCCTAAATTAAACTTATTAGCAATTTATATTTACACCGTGAGGCGTCGCTACGGCTATAATTTCAGACATCAAAAGGCGTCAAAAACCTTCCATTCCAAATAGTTCGGGATTCCTTATATTAATCTGCCTACAATAACATTAATTTAGCATTAAATCATTATTTTTTTACTGACATACATAAAAATAGTATTTTATGCAATCGTTGCATAATGAGGGTTCTTATAGGCGAATACTATGTTTAGTATGAGATTTTGAGACCTAATTATGTCATGATTGCATATAACATAATTCATCTGCTTTAAAGGTAAAACCACATAAGTAATATTTTCCACAAAAAATCTCCAAATTATGTGCCAGTTGTAAGAAATTCACCATTTTTTTGCAGATAAAACTCTAATTGAGTTTATAGCTTTTTTGTTATTGAGCTTCACGTGCAGATAGTGATTTTCTTACCATAGTATAAATTAAAGACTTTTTGTGGAAAACGTCACTTATGTGGTTTTACCTTTAAACAGACGAATATTTTCTACGAGTAAATTTAGCCAAACAAACGGTACAAAACAAAGAGATGAAATAGAAGTGTCCGTGATTGGCCAAGGACCGCTTTTGCGTGAGTCTTGATATTTTATATTGTTTTTAAATAGGTAGTTCTTTTTTGCCAAATGGTTACGCCATTGTACCTGTTATGTAACACTTTTATTTAGATATTATTCAATAAAATAATTATCTTTTAATAATTTTACGAATATATTGACGTTAATCTATTCAGGAACACGGTGACGTGTTTATGGAGACTCTTTTATGTAAACAAAATACGACTTTCTTTTTTTGAAACTCGCTGTAGTTTTTATAGAACTATTATTAAATTTTTCAGTGCAGTAACGAGTGCCACAGACAATAGAATTTTGGTTCAGAACTGACAAGGGCGCCTCTGCGATATGGTTTATGAAATGATTTAAAGTTTTAAAAATACAGGCGTAGAAATAAATTTGTTGTAAACTTTAAAATGAAAAGTGTTAACGCCTACAACAAACCTAATTGCCATTTATATTTACACTGTTTGCGTCGTTTCAGCTATTATTTAAAAATTGAAAGGCGTTAAACAATTTCCATTGCAAGTAGTTTGGAATTTCTTGCAATCATCTGCCTACAATAACATTCATTTAGCAATATGTCATAATCGGAAGGCCGAGTAGATAGCGACAGTGTGAAATTTAGTAAGACACTTGCTTGTCCAGTTGGTAACCTCGGCCTGCTCTGAATAGTTGCTTGCATAAGTTGAAGTGTTTGTTAATTGTTAACAAAAGATTATGGTGGTATTGTTTGGGTTGCGGAAATCCAACCAAATAAACGGCGCTTTACACTAAGTTAACAATTCTTTAGTGATTTGACGCAGACCGGTGTCATAGACATAAAGCACACACAACGTGACCATTATTTTTTCCCACAGCGGGACGTCTCTAAATTTATTATTGTTTCAAAAATAAACACGTTAATGATAGTTACGAAATGTTTAATGATAAAAAAAATAAAAACAACTAAAATTGTTTAATGAATCAAAAATTCAATAAAAAAAAAACTTGTCTTTTGTATAAATATCGAGTTCTTAGGTTTTCGCGACTGTTACACATAGGAAATGAAACTATTTTTCTGGATTTAAATCGCGTATATTTGTTTTTTCAAACAATCCAACGTTTCGGGCCCTTTACAGGTCCCATGGTCACGGCTAACGGTTACTTAACATTGTGTAGTCTGGTGCTGGATGCCAGGTTGGCTGGCTTTATATATTTTTCGCTTTCGCGGCAATTACAATTTATTGTTACGTGTGTTCTGTTTTGTGAAAGTCCCACTTTCAAGTATTTTGGAGACAGAGGGTCAAGAAGCCTAAAAGCAGGACTGTCTCACTCAAAGTATCTGTGACATGACGGAACAGACAACTTCCCTATTTCCTATTTTATTTATTAGACAATAAGTTAAAACATACAGGTAAGATACAATAAAAGCTTAAGTACTAAAAACTCAAACTAGGATTAAAAATTGGGCCCAAGGTGCTGGCAGCGTTCCTCATTTGTATGGGTATGTTTCAGTGATCGACTATTTTGTATAATAATCTTTGGGGAATAACAACGAAAGTTAAGGTTTTAAAAGCGTAATTAGATTAGTTATTTAGTATTTATATTATGTTATTATAATCTTAAGGATCTTGGTCATAGTTGCCTGATTTAAATGAAGGTATAAAAAAATAAATAAAAATTGACAATAGCAGAATGAATTCGGAGTTTATTAAAATTGCATTTTTAAAAGTGTATTAAGAAATTTTATCTTAAAACAGACCTTTTAGATGTTTGTAAATTTTGGAGTTACAATGTTTGATATAGAAGATGTGATAAAAAGGTCTGGCCATAATATTTATGTCAGCGGTGATCGTATTCATAATAATGGCTCTGGTTGGAATTGTATTTTCTACCATAATTTCACGCAAAAACGTACTAAATTTATATTTTACCATGTTAACTTGCTTATCAACACGTCACATTTTGCAAGTTTTAATTAAGTTATAATGAGGTTAAGTATGTCTTCTAAATTATTTTCATAAGTACTCAAATTAAGTTACGTAAGAATAATAAACTCGGAAGAAAATAACGAAACACATGTGTCAGATTGCAATTGCGAAGTCTAGAAGGCGATGGTGTATGTAAATACGTGGCGACCTTGAAGGTGAATGTGCACGTTGCCGTTGGCGCCGAAATGTGCGTCGGCGCAAGCAGCACGCTGCTTTCTAGTACAAGGTCGGCTATGTTTTGTATGGGCTGGCGTAGACACGCCGTTGTATATTGGCTTGTTTTTTACGTATATTTTTACTAATTACTTCTGGATTCAAAAAGGGTGGCGGTAGTATTTAATTTGTCGTCAAAGCTTCAGTCAAGGGAATGCTTCTATAAAGATCATGGTCCACCAGAGCATAAAAATTATATCCACGGCGTATAGAAATGGCATATGGCTAGATTTATAGAAAATATTGGGTAGTTTATAATGGTATGTGTCGCTTTGTTGTGGGTATTGGAAATTATGGAATACAAAAAATGTATGTTTAATTAAAAAATGTATATTAGTGCAAAATATTTGTGTGTTTTGTATTTATTGTTGATCACCCAGAGAACGATTTCGGTTCGCGAATATCTAATTTAGCTATTTTTGTTAACCGACTTCAAAAAAAGGAGGTTCTCAATTCGAATGTTTGTTTTTTATTGTATGTATGTTACGTGATAACTCCGGTATTTGTGCACCGATTTTCATGATTATTTTTTTGTTGGAAAGAGGGTACCTCCATAGTGGTCCCATTTAATTTTGAAGAAAATCATCCACCTCTAAGAGTGGCTGTTTACGCATGAAGATTCATATAATACCAAATACTTTTGAGGTCGGTTTTACAGTACTCTGTACTGAGATTATCTACTTTATTTTACATCGACTAGCTGCAATATATCGAAGCTACTCTAATTTCTAGTGATAACAATAAAATCAACTAGATGGCGCTTATTACACAGATTTGTGTGTATTAGCGCCATCTACCCATATTATGAAGCGTTAATTTAAAAATTAGTTTGTAATACACAATGTGAATTTCGATCAATCCGTCTT